TTTAAATTAAAATCTCAAATTATTACCTAACAAAACCGTGCTTTAGACACAACACTTCACTATTATAATGGGGGATCGAAGAGGGATCGATGACCTGGTTAGGGAATGTCTTGTTCTTCGTCTTATTATTATTATTATTATTATTATTATTATTATTATTATTATTATTATTATTATTACTATTATTATTATGATGGTACCTTTGCCTCATGATGCAGGAAGCTATTGCATTTAATTAAACTAACAATAATAATTAATTTGACAATAATTTTTCATTGTGTCATTCCATAGAATATAATATTGCCAAACCTAAACCTCCCTTGTCGTCAAAACCCTTGGTTCACGTTATTAAGATAATTATGAAGAGGTGGTTGAAAATTAAGACGTTTGAATAATTAAAATATTAAAAATGTTAAAGGAATGAATCAACACATAAAAAAAAAAATTAAATAATTTTATAAATAATCTTAACATTTTAAATATTGATATATTTTAATATTTATATTTTTCAATTATGAGTATTCATTTTTTGTTTGCATGGTGGAATATTCTCAGATCAACTTACAAATATTTTAATTTTTTTTTACAATTTTAATTTTTAAGAGCAAATACTCTATATCATTTTGTTATTACATTTAAAAAATTAAATTTCCTTTAGGGGTGTTCGGTTGGAGCAACTTTTTTTCTTAAAATTTTCTCAATTATAAAGTTATTTATTTATTTTTATATATTAATATTACAACAGAAGAAACGTAAAGAGTATTTATTTTCTTTAACACAATTTTCAACCTATAAACCTATTTTCTTACATATTTTGAAAGAAAAAAAATGTTTTCTATAGCTTGTTTTTTATAAATTTGTTTAACTTGTATCCTTAAAGTACAAATTAAAGGTGTATTAAATACATATTTTATTTATAAATTTATATGAAAAAAATAAAAATTAACATTTAATTTATCAATTATCCAATTAAGTTTATCTAAAACTAAAATTGATATCAGTTTTTAAATTTTCTATACACATTTATAATTAAAAAAATATAATAAATACATTCTTATTTTGTACCCTTAAGAGTACAAGATAAAAAAAAAATCAT